ATTCAGTAAAAATCGAATTATCAAATTATTATTTTGATATTTAAATTTTTTAGGACTTTTATAAATTTTGTTCAAACAATGATGGTACCTGACCATATTTTTGAGCAACCTGATTAATAGTGAGCGCATTTTTGTTTCAAAGGCTAAATGGAGGATAAAATTGTCTCATATCAAATAGTTCGTAAGCAAATTGGCCTATTTTCTAATTATTTAACTAAAAAGGTAATTTAATTTTTTTAATTTCATACAATTTCTTTTTAATTCGGTTCAAATAGGAATTTCAAATTAATTACTTATATATACACACCCCATTAGCCTTAAGTTTGTTCACATTCACAATTTTACTTTTAAATCTTAGCCACCGCCTCTCCAAATCAAAGTCTCCCTTCCATCTCCAGCAACGGCTAATCTTCGTTCACGTAAGAATCTCTCCCATTCTTCTTTTAGGGTTCATGCTTCCTTTTTTACGCAAACACTATCGAATTCTTTGCTGATAACGCACGGCTTGTTCGGGAGTTAGCCAGTGGCTGGTTGAAGCTTTATCCTAGGAAAAATGGTAAGATGCTAAAGTTTTAGTTTACTACTACTTGCCAGATGCTAGGGTTCGGACTGTTAGGTTGTTTGTCGTTTTTGTATTACTATCTTAGCCTCTTAGTTTCAGGCTTTATGTCTTCTTTTCCATTTTTAGATCTAACCCACATTTTCCTCCATGTGCTTTTACCGACGACGATCAACATAAACCATTTTTAATAGTTATTACTAACAAAATTAATAAACTCAAAATTATCTCTTGTGCTCTCTCCTCCTCTTCTTCTCATTCATTTTTATATCTGCTTTTGAATTTTCACTTATTCTATACCTTATCGCATACTTGGACCAACATCTTTTTCTCTTTATTGTTTTCAACTGTCTTGAGAATGTATTGAGTACAATGTACTATATATTGCTCACTTGTTGTCACGGAATGTTTTACCGACGACGATCAGCATAAACCATCTTCAATAGTTATTACCAACAAAATCAATAAACTCAAAATTTATCTCTTGTTCTCTCTCTCTCTTCCTCCTCTTCTTCTCATTCATTTTTATATTTTTTGAATTTTCATTTATTCTATACCTTTTTGCATACCTGGGCCAACATCTTTTTGTCTTTATTGCTTTCAATTGTCTCGGGAATGTATTGAGTATTATGTACTCTATATTGCTCACTTATTGTCACGGAATGATTTAGGGTTAAATTTGCTTATTTTTAAAACAATTACTCATTAGGTTGAAACTTTTGGGTCTATAGCACTTGGAATGCTTGAAAGCAAGCCTGTAATTATTTATATTTGTAAGAGTTCTTTCAAGTTAATATAATATTAGCCATGTGTTTTTATGCACTACCTTAGTTCTTATCGTCAAAAATATTATTGAGATATATGAAGATTCGAGTAGTTTAATTCAAAGTTCTAAAATATTAGGAAAAATTATATTGTCGAAAACTTAAAAAATAAAAATAAAAAGCTAAAAATTTTGAAAAGACAATCTATTACATTCATTAATGCCATGACCATACAAGAAAATTATGAAGTTTTTTTAGCAATAGAAATAATAAATACTAGGAAATGATGAAGCTGTAACTTTCCGACACCAAAAATAGTTTTCTGGTGGGTATAGAAAAAGTCTTTGCTAGTGAACTAAAAATTAATGGTAACTTAGGATTGTAGACAATAAATTTGCGTCGAGAAAATAAAATTAAGATCGAAAAATATTGCAACAATCGTAGTATTTGATTTCAATTAATATGGGTGTACAACCTCTATAAATCCTCTAATTCTACTTCCTTCGAGCTTAAACTTGAATTTTATTTTAATCTAAGTACTTGAGGCCTGATCTTGATCTTGACATATTTTTAATCCAAGAGCTTGCAGCTTGTTCTTGAATCTTCATCTTGATCTTTTAATTTTTAGAACACTTGAATGCTTGTAGCTTTTAGAGAATTCTGCAGCGTTCGATCCACGGGCTCTCTCTTGCTTCTTGTTGTAACTTCTGATATCTTTCTGAGTTATGAAGACCACTATTTATAGTTGTGGGAGGGAAGAGTTATGATAAGAACAAACTCTTTCCGACCAATCAAATTGAAGTGTGACAAGGCCACATTTGATTTGCAAGAACATGTCACTTGCACAAGTGACGCGGTTTCATTGGCCCTTTAATTTGACTTCGCATGCCTTGTCATTTTGATACGTGGCATAATCCTATTGGCTCTTCTGTTTGACTTGGTGTGCCACGTCATTTGACACGTGACACCAAATAGGGCCTTTAGGCAGATGACATCTTGGGCTTAATAAAGTGGGCTCATCACTTTAGTTCAATTAAAAGAGCTAGCCCAATGGATTAAAACTTATTTATTGAAGGAGGAAGTGCACGGTTAGCCACTAATAACACATGTATTTACTTTTAAGCCACTATTTAAAATGTCTTTAGTCTTTAGCCACTGCTTTAATAAACTTTACCTGCCCGGACGAAAACACCCTTCTGCTCATAAAGTTCAGGACCAAGTGTCCTTAACTTTTGAACTTGTAGCTCTAAGTTCAGGACTACATGTCCTTATCTTTTGAACTTAGAACTCGAAGTTCAGGACCTCCTGTCCTTAATTTATGTGCTTGTAACTCTAAGTTAAGGACTACTTGTCCTTAACTTTTGAACTTGTAAGTCTAGTTCAGGACTTATTATCCTTAACTTTTGAGATTGTTAGTCTAAGTTCAGGACCAAGTGTCTTTAACGTTTGAACTTGTAACTATAAGTTTAGGACCAAGTGCTCTTAACTTTGAGCTTGTTAGTCTAAGTTCAGGATCTATTGTCCATAACTTTTGGGCTTCTTAGCCTAAGTTCAGGACCTATTGTCCTTAACTTTTGAGCTTGTTAGTCTAAGTTCAGGACCAAGTATCCTTAACTTTTGAACTTGGAACTCGAAGTTCAGGACCAAGTGTCCTTAACTTTTGAACTTGTAACTGTAACTTCAGGATCCATAACGTAGCAGAAAACCAAAAATACATGACAGAAATCACAAATTGAAGTACATCTACCACCATAATTGCATACGATCAAACATCACGACTAGTTTAATTAGTAACAAAACTAGCACGTTAATCTTTGAACAATCATAGTGTTTATTCAAGAGTTTCTCAAATTAAGTTTATATATATAACATATGGTAACATTCTTAGCATGGCCTAGTACAGAAATAACGGAGGCGGAGTCCACGACAGTCGTCACCGGAAAATCCTTCCGTTTCACAGACGGCGGCATAGTTCTTCTCCCTAACACATGAAAGAAATAGAAGAAAGGGTAACACAGTCTTTTCATAGTAATTTTAATAGACTAGTGACTACTATTGCTAAACATTAAAAATGCTGGATAAAAAGTAAATACCACTTTAAAAAATGGCTACCCCACACAATTTTTACTTTATTTAATCCATATATGTTGGACTTATATAACTAATCCAATTATATTAGCCCAATAAATTTATTTGAACTAATATATTTTGAATTTAAAATATAGTTCAAATTATTTTACGGATTTAATTTCAATAAGATTAATATGCGTACAAATGCCCCCTATTTTTTGAGGTATAGATTTGTCGAATTACGCAGACAAGACTTGAAGTATACATCCTCCAATGCTCCTATAAGAGCTTACACGTTTGCAAGGTTAAATAAACCTCTCAACGCTGTCAGACTTCAAGGATAACATGCTCACGTGAAATAGCAAAGCAATTATCACCATAACTAATAGCAAATATTGCTAGAGTTACAGTGAATTGGATTTTTCCAATGCTTCCACGTAAGCCTAGCAAATGTAAGAATCTTTAAACATGTACATCCTATAGTTGTGGAGACATATTAGTACTAATAAATTGCTTGTCTCAAATTCTAGTAGTATATACACGTGGATTAGTGGTAATGACTAAAGTGCCTGACTCTTTACATATCTACCATATGTAGGTAAGGAAACCGTCGCCGTCTTTAGCTTTTCTAATCGAATTAGGAATAGGACACCTAATCCTTCTTCGAAATTATCTGATCCCACATCGGTACTAATTCTTCAATACCCATCTTCGGAAGCTGTATAAATATGTGCATGCCATTCATTCAATCGGCATCAACAACATCTGCGAGCTATGTTTAGCTTACATTTGACAATTTAGAAGTATTGACACGGAGGTAATTTTTTTTTTTTTTTTTGTGTTTTTTTCTTTGTTTTACTTATGATTTTTTTTTAGAAGTAACTTTGTCAAACTACTTTTTTTTTTTTGTGTTTTTTTCTTTGTTTTACTTATGATTTTTTTTTAGAAGTAACTTTGTCAAACTACTTTTTTTTTTTTGTGTTTTTTTCTTTGTTTTACTTATGATTTTTTTTTAGAAGTAACTTTGTCAAACTACTTTTTTTTTTTTGTGTT